TCCTAGCTACCGTATTGTATACAATAAACAATAATTACCGACTGAATAAATGGCTGAATGAAGAATGAATTAGTAACCCTACAGAATGATTTATTCTATTGGGTGCTAGCAAGACATTAGATCAGTGTTTCCAATCAACTGCAAACAAGTACATTTAAGCACTTTATTTCCAGTAAGTAGCCTGAGTTGCCCAGTCAACCTATGGGTTAATTGTTCCATTCTAACCATTCATACCTATTTCTCTTTCTTATTTTTCTCCACATTCCACTCTTGCAACTGCCTTTCTTCTGGCCTTTCTGAACTCTTCTGCCTGTGGCCCAGGCTGGCTCACAGCACCCCCTGCTAATTTTGCTCCAGCAAAAGCAGTCACTGACCTTTGACTGATAACATCTATCACTAGGGCTGGTCTGTATAGAGTCAGAGAATAACAACCACATCCTTGGTGTGATACCAGGGCACTGAGATGCCCACTGCCCCTAACATAGTCCTCTCTGCACCTAATACCTTGCTTCCCTTGGTTGAAGCTTCTGACCTTTTTGTATTTGAAAGGTAATTCTTTAATCTTCAGAAACCATCAGGAACTGGAAGTCCTCCCAGCAGAAAGTCTGCACAGTGTGGGAGACAGTCATGTGACAGATCTCTGATTTCTTTCATTGAAATGCCCTCATCCATATTACACACCAGATATTAAGAACTACTTGGGCTGTGTGTTAGGATGCCACAAACACGCTCAGACTCATGTTCAGTGGGGTGACCATTGAGAAAAGACAAGAAGCTCAACATTTCCATCCATACAGGCTTAAGTTATTAAAAAGTCAAGTATTTCTTAAAGTGGAATGCATGTTGGATCCCCTTAAAGGAGAAAGGGGAGGCTACCAGGCAACTGAGGGACATGGGAGGTGGAAGGGCATGGGAAGAGGAACCAGAAGGAGGAAAGAATTGGGAAGCTTGGAACACACTTGAGAAACTATCTCTTTTTAGAGTACTGGTCCCCTGTGACACCACAGAGCTAAGACAATATAAGCTACCACAGGGACCAGTTCTCAGAGAGGCAGTCTTCAGGGAAAAAGAGAAAGAGAGACAGAAACTACAAGGCCAGTCCACTTTCAGTTTCCTTCAGACCAAAGAAGCACCAACGGTGGGGACATCCAAGGCCCTGTCAGTAGAGAGGCTACTAGACTCTCAGTGTTGTCCAGGGTGCCTAACCTTGTTTCACAGAACACATGATCTCAAGTAACAAAGGAAGGTCTTCTCATCCCAGAGCAAGTCCACCTCTACAGTCAAGACATGTTATACCTCCTTTATGGGTAGGGTCCTGACCCCAATGGGAAGAGCTTCTCACATCTTTATTGTGTACTCCCCACCTTGGCTCAGCCATGCCCTATGGATTATTATGGAAAGGACATGATGTGCTACAAGGTGTAGTTCATGGACCAGCGGCAGTCTGAGAATTGCTTATTACTGGTTCACAGTGAGCTAAATACAGAAATTGAAAGTATGCATTTAGAATCATTTATAGCAATTTGCTGAGACATCCCAGCACATGATCAAGGGTTCATATTTTGCATGCCTTTGTTTTCTGTATTTCATCTTTGTTATGTTTTATAAAAGGTACCAATCTGTGATGACTAGAAATACACATTGTTTAGGAAACCAAAACACTAGTCTTTTACCACAGTTTGTGCCAATACTGCCCAGTTAAAATTCAGCAACCAGCACTGGAACTGTGAGCATTTGGAGTTTTCTCTTTGCTACTCTAAAGAAAACCTCACTCTCTGCTCCTTTGTTTGTCAAACCTCTCTTTGCCTCCTCACATGACAGGTGCAAACAAAGATGAGTTGTTGTTTTTGTTTTTGTTTTTGTTTTTAAGATTTTATTTATTTGTCAGAGAGAGAGAGTGCACAAGCTGGCGGAGCGGCAGGCAGAGGGAGAAGCAGGCTCCCCGCTGAGCAAGAAGCCCGCTGTGGGACTCGATCCCAGGACCCTGGGATCATGACCTGAGCCAAAGGCAGATGCTTAACCAACTGAGCCACCCAGGTGTCCCAACAAAGATGAGTTGTGGAAGAACACAGGTACAGGATGGTGGTCGAGTTCATGCCGGGCACCCATAGCATTTCAGTTCTTCTCAGGCAGGACCATACAGAATTGTGCCCATAGAAAGAAGGAATCTTGCCACAGAGCCTATCAGAAAAACTCCTTCATATATTCCACATATGAGTGAAACCATATGATAATTTTCTTTCTTCGATTGACTTATTTCACCTAGCATAATACTCTCCAGTTCCAGTGCAGAAGATCATAAAGGAAGGGGAGGAAAAATTGAATGTGAAGTCATCAGAGAGGGAGAAAAACCATGAATGACTCTTAACTATGGGGAACAAAGTGGGGGTTGCTGGAGGGGAGGTTGGTGGGGGGATGGGGTAACTGGGTGATAGGCATTAAAGAGGGCACATGATATGAGCCCTGGGTGTTATACGCAACTGATGAATTATTGAACACTACATCTGAAACTAATGATGTACTATATATTGGCTAATTGAATTTAAATTTAAAAAAAAAGAAAGAAAAACTTCTTCAGAAACTACAATATCTAGTCACTGTTGCCTCACAACACTCCCAGACAGCTGACTCCTGCCTGAGAAAATATTGACAACTACTGAGTCATTCTATTGAAGCTCAATTCCTCTAAAAGCACAGGCCCCAAAATACACTTAACACACCCAGTTCCCAAAGGTTAAAGTATAAGTGAGAAACACCGCAAGAACCTGATACTGAGTCAAGTAGTAGTTTCTGACGTGGGAAGGAGGAAGTATACATCAGCCCCTTCCACAGTTCTGGATGATTACCACCCAGGTCACGTAATGAGCAAAGCAGACTAGATGCATCTAACATTTTTATTCTTGCCTTCTCGACTGTACCTCATCTATGTTATAATAACATAATTATAAAGCCACTGGAAATTGACAATTTTCTTTCTTCCTGTGAAATGCTAAATGGTTCCCACATCTCATTTCATTTAATCTCGTAATATCCTGGTGGGGCAGCTCTGCTCTGATTTACAGATGAGACCAGAAAGACTCGTCTGAGGTCACACAAGGAATGCAGGAAATAATGGAGACATGAATTGTGGAAGCTGTATTAGCAACCTCAAATTGAGGAAGAGGGGAGATACACCCACCAGCCTGCCTGAGGTCATGAAGAAAATGAGCTGGGCTAGGAGGGCAGTGGTGCCTCTGTCCCCCAAGCCCTTTGAAATGAAATGAGTTCTTGGGAGAAAGACAAGAAGTCTGACCCAGACAAAACTGTGCAGTGAGCTAAGATGGCTTCTGACACCCCCAAATCTCCTTTCCCCCTTCTGTGGGACTTGTACCCATCTCCCCTAGTCAGGCAGTGTTCTGGTGTCCCTGTCCCCTATCAAACTGGCTCTTAGGAGATGCTGTCAGCTCCTTGATGGTGATTCTACATGACTGTGTTCTCACTCCTGGAGTTTCTAATACTTCAGGTCTCATCTTTCCCTATGGAAGGATATCTTTTATCCCATTAGGGAGTGTGCTGGTGAATGGGAAGTCTCCCAGGGGAGGTGGTAGGGGTAGGCTCTCACCCTCTGTGAGAGCCCATACTTCCATTCACTGAATGCCCACTATGTGCTATGGACCATGTTAAGAATTCTACATTTACTAGCTAATTAAATTCTCAATAATCCTGCTGGCAAATCCTTATCCCATTTTACAGTCGAGGAAGCAAAGACCCAAGAAGTTAATAGTGCAAGGTCACAAAATCAATTAGTGGCTACTTACTGTTTAACTTCTAGCCAACATGGCCTCTACAGACATAACAGAACATTACAAATCATCCCACAGGGGAAACAGTCCAGTCTACCACCCATGGAAAACAAAGTGAGTCCTCTCCAACAGGGAAATAGACAATGGGTACCTTAATAGAATCAGTATTCCACTATCCATGTGATATAACTTCAGTCATATTTGGCTCTGAAATGCCTATGGATGCTTATATGCACCCTCTCTCTCACCTGTAAACTATGTTTGAAACATCCCTGATTCCCAGGTGCCTCAGACTTGACACCTGACTCGGTGACTGTACCATCAGCAAATTTGTTGACTTCAGCCCTACTCTCCAATAGGAGAATTGTCTTCAATTGAATTGAATTGTCTTCACTGAAGAGCTACAGATAAAATGCAACTGCCTTCCCACCAAAGGGTAACAACTACACTTCCAAGGGATGCACACCAATGGGAAGATCCTTAAATACCTAAAAGAAAATCATCTAAACATCTGTGGCAATGTAGCTCCACAATCAGGTACTTCTTAGGAAAGACACACAAATGTACACTTTGGTCAGATGATAACAGGTGTGGAAAATACCAACACAATCAAGACTGAAATACTGAGGACAACCTGCATCCTGAAGAGTTATTTACTAAGCACCTACTATGTGTCAGGTATTCTACATATGTTATCACTAATTCTCACTATGGCCTTTCCTGGTAATATATTATCATTCCTATCTATAGTTAAGAAAAGAGACTCAGAAAGTTGCCCTTGCCCATCACCAAATGGCTAATAAATGGCATATTTAGGATTTGAATTCACGTCTGGTTCCCATGCTTGAGCTTCTTCCAACACACCAAGTTATGACAGTTTGGTCATAATTCACCTCTTCTCTGAAGCGACTATATTTATTTTGAAGTACCTCTTCATTCTACTCTAAGGTAAAATCATTAATACAAATAAAAACCAGCTATTGTTGGTGCTGGAGGAAATCTCCACTTAACATTTTAATTTTACTTAACATTCAGATTTATTAGAAATTCTGGAAGCTGGGAAAGAGTACTGCTCAGGCTCTGTCCATATCAGGGCCCAGAATTCTCTCACACGTACTTCACAGTGCCTGTGAGAATGAATAGTCTGGTGTTTGTGCTCATAGCACACCAAGCCATGAATCCCACATGCAGGGACTGTCCTTGTGAGCTGCGTCTTACCTTGGGCTTGCTGGGGCGACATCTTCTGGCTCATCCACAGCACCAGTTAGTTCTGGGGGAAGGAAAGCATCTTTGTTGACGTTATTCACCCAACTTGCCTTTGCCTCATTTGCTCTGTCCTTACTCTGCTCGGCTGAAAGAGGAAACAGTGAAGACAGGAAGGTCATCTCTCACCTCTGTGACCTATGACTCTCCTAGCATCTCTTCTTATCACTGAAGCTCAAACCTGAACTTCAGGTCTTCCTGGAGTGCCAAGGCACTCACTCATGAGTCTGAGTCCCCAGGGTCAGAATTATATCTGCAAAATTATATCTGATGTTACCTTCCCCCAAGCAGAATCTCCTGAGAGTATGAGTGGACCTTTACCTGTGCAGGTAACTCCAGAGATAACTCCAGCAAAATTCTGACCCCCTCTAGGTGAATCTCACCTGAATTGGGGTCAGGGCTAAATACATATGGCCGGGGGAACACTCAGGGCAGCTAGTCTTCATGGGACAGAGACACCATCATTTCCAAGCATTTACTGAACATCAACAATGTGCCTGACTTGAGGCTGGGCTCTGGAATCCAAAGGGGAACAAACGCTTCTGGCCTGGAATGTTCCTCTCCACTGCCTCTTCCTTCCCCCAGTCTCTACACATCCAAATTCTACAATACTCCTCAATACCCAGCTCAGATGCCAAGGCCCCCCCATAAAACCTCCGTGCTCCCTCTTCAGAAAGTAACTTCTTTTTGCCCCTGAATACCCAGGGCTCTTTACCAGCACCTCTCAAATAATTAGCATTAAGTAATTATGCTAAGTGCCAGGCACAGTGTTGTTTTTTTGCATGCATTACCTTGTGAGAAGGTGTTATTTTCCAAGTTTACAGATTTGGAAATCAAGTATAAAAAAGTTCAGGAAACTTGCTTTTGACCCCAGTGCCAGTAAGTGCTTATACATTAATGTTAAGATGAAGCAATACGAGGGCTCCGATTTCCAAATACTAACATTCCAGGGTGGTATTCCCCACAGGTCTCTTTACACAGAAGTCTAGTTTCTTCAGCTGCAACATAGAATCCACAATACTAATCCGTACCTCCCGAGATTTCTGAAGGCCCAGATGGTTTTGAAAATCAAGAGGGATGCGAGCAATGCAGGGCACACACTAAACATTACCCCTTACTTGCAAGGGGTGTGGCTCTGAGTCAGAAGGAACAAAATCCCAGGTCGGCCATTTGCCAATGATATAACCTTGGACAAGTAACTTCACTTCTCTGAATTTTACATGTCCCATATGTAGAACAGGGATAAGAATACCTACCTTACAAGATCGCTGCTATAGTTAGAAATAATACAGAGCAAATGCCTATCATGTATTAAATGTTCAAAAGGTGACAGCTATTTTCCTTATTGGGCACAGGCTAGATCTAGACAGGGGCTGTTCTCAGGGGTAAAAGTTTACACTGCCTAGCTCAGAGTGAAAGAGAAGGTACACCATACATATTTAATAAACCCAACAGGATTCTAAAGAAGCCCTCAAAATACTGTCTTTACAGTCTCTTAAATGATATACTTGGTTGATTAAAGACATACCAGATGTCAAAGTTGTTGAAAGGGAAGCTAATCTCTTCCTGTCACCCTACTCAGAGGAAATGGTTCTCAATCTTCAGAGTTAAAAGCCAAAGGAATGAAGGGGGTAAATGCCTCATAACCCCAACTGTCTATACTACTATAGCTCAACACAGTATCTAAAAGACTTCTTATGTTTTTCTAGATTACCCTGAGTCCCTTAGCCCTGCCTTCATCCATCTGAATCCAGGACAAGAAGATTTTGAGCTGGAGGACTATGCGTACCTCCAAATTACTTCCCTTAGCAGATTCCAGTAATGATTCTAACATCCTTCCAGTCTCCTGACAATGCCTTCCCAAACAAATGCTGGCTCAAAATGTCCTAGCCAAACCAACTCACCTGCTACCTGGAGCTTCTTCTTTCTCATGGATGCTCTGATGATATCTGCACCATGAATTCTGTCTCTGTGCCTTTTTGCCTTGGCTTCATAAAACCACTCACCACTCATATTCTTCAACTGTTGGTCATCCTTAATTTTTTCAGGCAAATGTCTACAAAAGGAAAAGACCTTTACTTTGCTGAGAGCCCACAGTAAATAAATGAGTTCACTGTGACAGTGTATAAAGAAATCTGTAAACATACAAATAAAGCTCTCAATATTTTAGAAGACCCCACAAGCCTCCTAGACGACCAAGAAATATATATATTCCTCTTTGATTGAATAATCAGGAAAGACAAGGCTAACACTTTTTAAAAATCAAAGACTTCATCCATGACCTCCACATGATGCCTGGAATTTCTCAAGAGCAGATTCACTTTTTGGCTGCAGTCTTCTGTGTCCACTGTTCAGATGCAAATACCCCAGGGAAATATGGTCTATTAAGTGTCTCTAAGCCTTGGTCCCTTTATCTGTAAAAAGAGGTTCATCATAGTAATCTACTTCATGGTATTGCTTTAAGGATTAAATTAGCTAATGCATGTAAAATTGCCGTTTGCCAATGCCTGGCACCTAATACCCAATGAATATCTGGTGGAGAAGTTATCAGTTCATCAATCCTTTCTGTTTCAGTGAAATGCGTTTATCAGAGACTTTCTGGGTGGGGGGGTAGTGAATGATATCCCTGGTTCTTAATGCCAAGGAACTGAATAGTGAAAAAGTGGGCTGGCTGGAAGCAGGCAAGATCAAATTTATGGAAGTAGGGGGATGGGGAATAGAGGCAGAGGCAAACTCTGATTGTGCAAATACGGCTTTCAAGGGTTCCACAATCATTCACGCTCACTGAAAAGCTAACACCTGTAGAACAAAACAAATACAGCCCTAAAATCTCCCTAATTTACACTTAAAAAACATTGTTCTACTTGACAAGTGTTTTTTTTTTCCATCATGATACATGTACTCTTTAATCCCCATCTCCCATCCTTCCCACATCCCCTCTGATAACCCTCAATTTGTTCTCTATATTTAAGAGTCTGTGTCTTGATTTTTCTTTTTCCTTTGCTCATTTCTTTTGTTCATAAATTCCACATGTGAGTGAGATCATATGGCATTTTTTTTCTCTGACTTAACCTGCTTAGCGTTATACTCTCTAGCTCTATATATGTTGTTGCAAATGGCAAGATTTCATTCTTTTTTATAGTGGAATAATATTCCATTGTATATATTTACCACTTCTTCTGTATCCATTCATCTATCAGTGGATACCTGCTTCCATAGCTTGGCTATTGTAAATAATGCTGTAACAAACATAGGGATGCATGTATCTTTTTGATTTAGTGTTTTTGTACATTTTGGCTAAATACTTGGTAATGCAATTACTGGGTTGTAGGGTAGTTCTATTTTTAATTTTTTGAGGAAACTACACACTGTTTTCCACAGTGGCTGTACCAGTTGCATCCCCAACAGTGCAAGAGGATTCCTTTTTCTCCATATCTTCACCAATACTTGACATTTCTTGTGTTTCAATTTTCACCAGACAGGTGTGAGGTGATATCACACTGGAGTTTTGATTTGCATTTCCCTGATGATGAGTGATGTTGAGAATCTTTTCATGTGTCTGTTGCCATCTGCGTATCTTCTTCGGAGAAATGTCTGTTCATGTCTTCTGCCCATTTTTTAATTGGATTATTTGTTTTGGGGGTATTGAGTTGTACCAGTTCTTTATATATTTTGGATACTAACACTTTATGTCATTTAGAAATATCTTCTCTTATTTCATAGGTTGCCTTTTAATTTCGTTGTTTTCTTTCCTGCAGAAACTTTTTTTTTTCTTTATGTAGTCCCAACAGTTTATTTTTGCTTTTATTTCTTTTGCCTCAGGAGACATACCTAGAAAAATGCTGTTATGGCCAATGTCAGAGATATTATTGCCTGTGCTCTCTTCAAGGATTTTTATGATGTCAGGTCTCACATTTAGGCCTTTTAATCCACTTTATTTTTGTGTATGGCATAAGAAAGTGGTCCAGTTTCATTACTTTGCATGTGGTTGTCTAGTTTTCCCAACACCATTTGCTGAAAAGTCTTTTTCCCATTGGATATTCATTCCTCCTTTATTGAAGATTGACCATATAACTGTGGGTTTGTTTTTGGATTTCTGTTCTATTCCACTGATCTGTGTCTATTTTTATGCCAGTATCATACTGTTTAAATTATTACTGCTTTGTAATATAACTCGAAATCTGGAATTGTGATACCTCCAGTTCTGTTTTTCAAGATTGCTTTGGCTAGTTGAGGTCTTTTGTGGTTCCATACAAATTTTAGGACTGTTTGTTCATGTGAAAAATGCTGTTGTATTTTGATAGGGATTACATTAAATATGTAGATTGTTTTAAGTAGTATAGACATTTTAACAATCTTTATTCTTCCAACCCATGAGCATGGAATGTCTTTCCATTTCTTTGAATTGTCTTGAATTTCTTTCATCAGTGTTTTATAGTTTTCAGAGTACAGGTCTTTCACTTGTTTGGTTAAGTTTATTCCTAGATATTTTATTGGTTTGGGTGCAATTGTAAATGGGATTCTTTTTTTTTTTTAAAGATTTTATTTATTTGAGAGAGCGAGAATGAGAGAAGGAGAGAGAGCACGTGAGAGGGGGGAGCGTCAGAGGGAGAAGAAGACTCCCTGCTGAGCAGACTCCGGGACTCCATCCTGGGACTCCAGGATCATGACCTGAGCCGAAGGCAGTCGCTTAACCAACTGAGCCACCCAGGCGCCCCTGGGATTGTTTTCTTAATTTCTCTTTCTGCTGCTTCATTATTAGTGTATAGGAATGCAACAGATTTCTCTACATTGATTTTGTATCCTGTGACTTTACTGAATTCATTTATCAATTCTAGCAGTTTTGTATATACAGTATCATGTCATTTGCAAATAGTGAGAGTTTTACTTCCTCCTTACCAATGTGGATGCCTTATGTTATCTAACTGCTGTGGTTAGGACTTCCAGTACTATGTTAAATAACAAATGCTAATAATGGACATGCTTGTCTTGTTCCTGACCTTAGGGAAAAAGTTCTCAGGTTTCACCATTGAGTATGATGTTGGCTGTGGGTTTTTCATAATAAGGTCTTTATTATGCTGAGGTATGTTCCCTCTAGACCTACATTACAGTAAGTTTTTTATCATGAATGGATGTTATAATTTGTCCAATGTTTTTTCTGCATCTATTGAAATTATATGGCCTTTATCATTTCTCTGATTGATGTGACATATCATGTTGACTGTTTTGTGAATAGTAAACCACACTTGCACCCCAGGAATAAATCCCACTTGATTACGGTGTATGATTTTTTTCAATGTATTATTGGATTTGGTTTGTTACTATTGTGTTGAGGATTTTCGCATCTATAACCATGAGAGATACTGACCTGTAGTTCTCTTTTTTGTGTTTTTTTTTTAAGATTTTATTTATTTGAGAGAGAGAGCATGAGTGGGGGGAAGAGGCAGAGGGAGAGGAAGAAGCAGACTCCCCACTGAGCAGGGAGCATGATGCAGGGCTCAATCCCATGACCCTGAGATCATGACCTGAGCCGAAGGCAGCTGCTTTACTGACTGAGCCACCTGGGCACCCCTTTTTTTGGTGTTCTTATCTGGTTTTGATATGAGCGTGATACTGGCCTCATAGAATAAATTTGGAAGTTTCCCTTCCTCTTCTATTTTTTGGAATAGTTTGAAGCTTTAACTCTTCTTTAAATGTTTGGTAGAATTCACATGTGAAACCATCTGGTCCTGGACTTTTCTTTGTTGGGAGGTTTTTGATTACTGATTCAATTTCATTGCTGGTAATTGGTCTGTTCAAATCTTCTATTTCTTCCTGCTTTAGTTTTGGTAGGTTATATGTTTCTAGGAATTTATCCATTTCTTCTAAGTTGTCCAATTTGTTGGCTTATAGGTTTTCATAATTTTTTTTTTTTTTGAGAGAGAGAGAGAGATAAAGAGAATGAGCGAACAGAGGGCAGGGGGAGAGGGAGAGAGAATCTTAAGCAGTCTCCAGGCCCAGTGTGGAGCCTGACACAGGTCTCAATCTTACAATCCTGAGATCATGATCTAGGCCGAAATCAAGAGTCAGATGCTTAACTGACAGAGCCACCCAGGTATCCCAAGTTTTCATGATTCTGTTACAATTGGTTGTATTTCTGTGGTGTTGTTATTTTTCCTTTTTCATCAGTGATTTTGTTTATTTGGGTCCTTTTTTTTTTTTTTGATGATTCTGGCTAGAAGTTTGTCAATTTTGTTTTAATCTTTTCAAAAACCAGTACCTGGTTTCATTGATCTTTTTTAGTTTCTATGTCATTTATTTCTGCTCTAATCTTTATTATTTTCTCCCACTTGCTGAGTTTTGGTTTTATTTGTTCTTTTCTATCTCCTTTAGGTGTAAGGTTAGGCTGTTTGAGATTTTTCTTGCTTCTGGAGGTAGACCTGGTTTGCTATAAACTTTCCTCTTAGAACCACTTTTGCTGCATCCCAAAGATTTTAGACCATTGTGTTTTCATTTTCATTTGTCTCCATGTAATTTTTCATTTCTTCTTTGATTCCTTGGTTGACCCATTCATTGTATAGTGGCATGTTATTTATTATTTTTTTAAGTAGCATGTTATTTAACTTTCATGTATTTGTGCTCTTTCCAGATTTTTTTCTTGTGGTTCATTCCTAGTTTCATAGTGTTGTGGTCAGAAAAGATGCATGGTAAGACTTTGATTTTTAAAATTCTGTTGAAACTTGTTCTGTGGCCTAATATGTGATCTATTCTGGAGAATGTTCCATGTGCACTTGAAAAGAATGTGTATTCTACTGCTTTAAGATGGCATGGTCTGAATATATCTGTTAAATCCATCTGGTCCAGTGTGTCATCCAAAGCCACTGTTTCCTTGTTGATTTTCTGAAAGGATCATCTGTCCATCAATGTAAGTAGGGTGTTAAAGTCCCCTGCTATTATTATGTTTCTATTGATTTGTTCCTTTATGTTTGTTATCAACTGCTTTATGTATTTGGGTGCTCCTATATTGGGTGCATAAATATTTACAATTTTTATATCCTCTTTTTTTAAAGATTTTATTTTTTAAGTAACCTCTACACCCAATGTGAAGCTCAAATTTACAACCCTGAGATCAAGATTTGCATGCTCCTCTGACTGAACCACCCAGGTACCCCTATAATTGTTATATCCTCTTGTTGGATTGTCCACTTTATTGTGATATAGTGTTCTTCTTTGTCTCTTGTTACAATCTTTGCCTTAAAGTCTATTTCATCCAAAATAAGTATTGGTACCCTGGCTTTCTTTTGACATCGATTTGCATGATAAAGTTTTCTCCATCACCTCACTTCCAAACCGCAGAGGGCTTTCAGTCTGAAATGAGTCACTGGTAGGTAGCATATAGATGGGTCTTGTTTTTCTATCCACTCTGTCACCCTGTGTTTTTTGATTGGAGTGGTTAGTCCATCTACATTCAAAGTAATTATTGATAGATATGTACCTATTGCCATTTTTGTTAGTGGTTTTATGGCTGTTTCTGTAGATTTTCTCTTCCTTCTCTTGCTCTCTTTCATGGTTGGCTTTCCTTACTGATATACTTGGATTCCTTTCTCTTTATTCTTTGCATATCTATTACTGGTTTTTGATTTGTGGTTACTGTTAAGTTTGTATGTAACATCTTCTGCATATAGCAGTCTATATTAAGTTGATGGTCACTTAAGCTTAAACCCATTCTTTACTCTTCTCTCTGCCATGTTTTAGGTATATGGCATCATATTTTATATCCTTTTATGAATCCTTTGACTAATTTTTACAGAAATATTTATTTTTACCACTTTTGTGTTTTTCACTTTTCATACTCTCACTTATGGTCTTTCCTTTCCACTCAAAGAACTCCCTTTACTATTTCTTGCAGGACTGGTTTATTGATCATGAACTCCCTTAGTTTGTTTGAGAAACTCTTTATTTCTCCTATTCTAAATGATAGCCCTGCTGGATAGAGTATTCTTGGCTGCAGATTTTTCCCTTTTAGCACTTCAAATATATCCTGCCATTCTCTTCTGGCCTGCAAAGTTTCTGCTGAAAAATCCACTGATAGATTTATGGGATTTCCCCTGGTATGTAACTGTCATCTTTTCTCTTCCTGTTTTTAACATTTTTTATTGCTACTTTTTGCCATTTTAATTACTATGTGTCTTGGTGGGGACCTCCTTGGGTTGAAATTTTGGGGGGGATTTCTGTGCCTCCTGGATCTGGATATCTATTTCCTTCCCTAGATTAGGGAAGCTTCAGATATTTCTTCAAATAAATTTTCTGCCTCCTTCTCTCTCTTCTTCTTCTTCCTCTGAGATCCCTATCATGCGCATGTTATTACACTTGATGGAATCACTGAGGTCCCTAAGACTATTCTCGATCTGCATAATTTTCTTTCCTCTCCTTTGCTCAGCTTGGTGACTTCCTATTACTCTGTCTACCAGGTCATTAATTCCTTCCTCTGCGTCATCTAGCCTGCTATTTATTCCATCAAATGTATTTTTAATTTCATTTATTGTGTTCTTGATCTCTGATTCTTTATCTCTGTGTTGAGTGTTCCTACCGTCCTCCACTCTTTTCTCAAGTCCAGTGAGTATCTTTATGATCATTAATTTAAATTCTCTATCAGGCATATTACTTATACCCATTTCACGTTGGTCTCTTCCTGAGGTTTGGTCCTGTTTTTTCATTTGAGAGATATCTCTCTGTCTCATTTTGACTGACTTTCTGTGTCGGTTTCTCTGTGTTCGGAAAGTCAGCTACTTCTCTTGTTCTTAATAATAATAGCCTTATGAAGAAAAGGTCCTGTAGTGCCCTGTAGTGCATGTCCCTTTCGCCAGGGCCTGGCAAAGGAAATGTCTCCTAGGTGTTTGTATCCTCTGCTATTGAGTCTTGACCTCTTTTTCCTTCATTCCAGTTGTCTGCAGAGGCTCTCTTTGCCTATCATGGGCAGTGTTTGGTCCCCAGCAGGAGTGGGGCACATTTTAACTGTGTAGTGGTCTGCTTGCAAAATGAGACATGCCCCCACTGCAGCTGGAACTGATGTCCCACACAATGCCTGGGTGTGGAGACATGACATTGGCAAGATTTGCACTGGTCTTCTTGGGGAGGGGCCCACAGTGCTGAGAATAAGGCAAGTGTGACTGAAAAGGAAGGATCCAGCAAAATGTAGGGTGGCGTGTCTTGGTGTAAACAATTTAGGTAAGCAAGTGTCAGAGCCAGGCTGGTTCCCACAGGTGGCTGTTGTTTATGCTGGGGAGCAAGGGAGGGAAATGGCACCTGCCAACTCCTTTGTTCCTGGAGGGGTTGCCCCATGATTGCTGTCTCTTGGAGCCACAAGTCATGCTCTGAGATGAGCAAATCACTCCCTCCTGTCTTCCCTTGGTATTTTTCAAAATGCTGGTTCTAGTTGTATGTTTGGGCTGTTTGTGGGCTATGTCTTTAATGGTGGGGACTCAGCTTCCTAATGTCCTACAGGCTCTCCTAGAGCCAAGCCCCTGATTTTTAAAGTTCCAGGCTTTAAGTCCCACTGGTTTTAAGAACTCACAAATTCAGCCCCTCTTTCAAAGGCAAATATTATGGGGATTCATCCTCCAGTTCGTGGGTTCCCCATGTGAAAGTCTGTTTTTCACCCTTCTCTGTGTCACCGGCTCCCTCTGCATGGCAGACGGCCCCAGTCCACTTCACTCCCAGACCAGCTCTTCGCCCTTTCTACCTTTTTTGATGTGGCCTCTTCACCATTTAGTTGTGGAATTTGTTCTGCCAGTCTTCAGGTTGTTTTCTGGGTTATTTATGCAGACATGAGTGTTATCTAGTTGTATCCATGGGATGAGGTGGGCTTAGGGTCCTCCTACTCTGCCATCTTCCCAGCCAACCCTCTACTTGACAAGTCTTTTAAATTCCACATCTCTCCATCTACGTCAATAAAATGAGAATCACAGACTCTAGAATGTAGTCACAGAATAAAGGAGTATAAAAGCCTTAAGCTGACTTTGAGCTTTTGGAAGGTAATGTGCTATGAAATCCAAGGTTTCATGATTATCATTCAAGCTAATATGCACCTTCCTAAAGTAACAAATCTACGTGTCTTAGCTAGAGAACATGTATGATGGCCACACCAAGGTGGTGGCAGGGCTCTGTGTGAGGGATGCACACCAGCATACCTGGGAGTAGGATTCTAGCAAGTACATTTCCTCTCTCCTAAGTGTACCTGGGGAGTGTCTTTTTACCCAGAGCCCAACTCTCTGCTGGAACTTTCTCTCCTCTCCCAATTACCTAGGAAGAAGTGACTCCATCCCAAACATATCCAATCACAACACTTGAACATACGTTGTCATCACCAAATCCTGACAAAGATAGTCAGACATGGTTTTGACAGACATGGTTTTGAATCACCAGAGAAGATCATGATTCATATTAAACATTTCTAATGGTTTCCAATTGCCTAAGGCTTTCCACAGGGCAAACAATCTCCTATGGGCTGCTGATGGAGCTTTTGCCTTCTCCTCCCAAAGAACCAAGTTTTGAGTTCAATTCCAGAAGAGAGAAGTCCTTTCAGAATTCCCTGGTAAGAAAGTGAGCCCCTAGGGGCAGAGCCTCTACTCCATATATCCTTGCTCAGTGTCTCTGGAAAATAGTGGGTTTTTATTCAATGCTTGTGGAATGAAGGAGTTTCATATGGGGCCCCTGACCACCTACCTGGTTTCAGGCTGCCTTTTCAGGTTCATTTTCCAGCACTTACCCCTGGACTCTACTTGCCAATACTCTAGACTTCTTAGTATTCTTCAAACTGCTCTTTCTGACCTCCCTAAACATTAGAAGCAGAAAGACTATGAGCTTTAGACTCTCCCAGACAGGTCCAAATCCCAGTTCTCACCCTTCCTATACGCTACCCAGGCAGGTTACTGAACCCCCCGAAGCTTCAGTTCTTTGTAGAGACAGGGGAAGAGAAGACCTACCTTGCAGGACCTCTGAGGTGATTAAATGAAGTATTTACCTGAAAGCACCTAACCGTGCTTGGATCTTAGTAAGAGGCCAATAAATGTGAAGTCTCTCAGGATATCTCTCCTCACTTCTCCGTGCAGCACATTGCTCTTTATCCTTCAGATCCAGCTCGTGCACCACCGCACGGGGGAAGCCTTCCCTGATTGCCAAGGCACAGGTCAGAAGCTTGCCCTTCCCCAGGCTCCCACAGCACTGACCACACCATATTCCAATGATCTATTTGCACATCTGTCTCACTGACTAATCTGTCAACTCCACAAACTCCCTGAAGGTGAGGACTACATCTTAATCACCTTTGTCATGCCAACACCCAGCACCAAGCCTGGCACAGAGCTGATACACAACTGTTTGGCGAGTGAATAAAGTATAGAACAAATAAATGCTCCACAGCCACCCCAGTCTGAGTCAGGCAAAAGAGAAGAGTGACCCTGTCACTGCTGGGGTTAGGTGAACCATACCTGTCACAATGGCAGTGGCTTCTCCTGATGAGGCAGGACACCTCGCTCTTGGCAGAATAGGAACAAACATGATGAAATCTGGCATCAGCCATCATCTTGTCATAAGAGACCACAAACCCTCCTAGCATAACAACTCTCGATTTCTCTTCAGAAGGTTATTTACTTATTTTTGGTGTTCGGTGGAAAGGCATTTTGTAGGGGCCCCTGTGTGACTCTGGATCTGCTCCTGCCTAAACGACCGTCTGTAAGCCCTGATCATGCTAAATTTTCCATGCACCATGCGCACACATTGGGTGAGTCAGGCTCGCCAAAACACATGGGCCCTGGAGAGCTGGTAGCCATTATAGTACAAAATTAGGAGGGGGGGTTCTGGCTTATCATTTAAGTGGCTAAAGAATAAGAGATTATTCAAATTCATTAAGTGCCATTTAATCTTTCCTCCCATGATAATCCCTGCTAGGTTTAATCAATCAATTCCTTTTTCGATCATAGTCATTTGGAATATTTCATAGATGAATACATATGTGTATAAAACCCAGGTTTTATAAAGATGTGGGATCATTTAAAAAAAAAAATCCCACCATCTAGATGGTGCTATTAAAATCTTCTCTACCAGCCTGGATTATTGTCTCATTTTTCATCAATTCTAATTTACCAATAAAAATAGCATTTGAGGGAGGAGTAGGAGACCTAGATTTCGTCTGGTCTCAGGAATTCAGCTGGATAGGGATCAAACCATTCTGAACACCTACGAACTCAACAGGAGATCGAACAGGAGAGTAGCAACAACTCTCTGAACAGAGAAGCGACCACTTACTGGAAGGTAGGGCGTGCGGAGAAGTGAATCCGAGGCGATATTCGGGAGGATAGATGGCGGGGGAGGGGCCTCCGCCGGCCGCTTCTGGCAAGTGATAGAGCCGCGGAGCACAAAATCGGACCTTTTAGAAGTTGGCTCGGCGGAGGGACGTCGCTGCAGTGGCTAAGCGGGGGGTGGAATCCTCCCGGGACAGTGTGGTCTCAGGACCCTTGGGGTCACAGAGAGACTGGGGGTGCCTGAGTGCGCCAGAGCTCCCAGGTATCAGAGCGGGGAAGCCGGCTGCAGAGACGGAGCAGAGTCGCGGGCTCTCAGCTCGGGGTTGCCATAAACTGTGATCTGCGGCCCAGTCGGGGCACGGCTCCTCCAGCAGGGACCCAACAAGCGGCAGAGCCGGGGAGGCTCCCCTTCCTTCCCGGGGAGGAGCGGTGCGGGAACGCACTGCAGGGATCTGCTGGGTTTGGAGACTCCACACGGGGTCAGGTGCCAGAGATAGCAACACTCGATCACAGGCCGGGTGAGCACGGAGTGCGGCCGGAGACCGGGGACATGGAAGTGACTGCTTTTCTCTGGGGGAGCACTGAGGAGCGGGGCCCCGAGTGCTCAGCTCCTCCGAGTGGAGATTGGGAGGCCACCATTTCTGCCCTCGTCCTCCAAGGCTGTACCGAGAGCTTGCAGGGAACAAAAGCTCCTGAGAGCAAACCGGAGCAGCTTCCTTAGCCGGGACGGACAAGGGCGGGGCAATTCCGCCTCCGGCAAAGACATTTGGAAACCACAGCAACAGGCCCCTCCCCCAGAAGATCAGCACAAACAGCCAGCAAGCCAAGACCAAATTGATCCATCAAGGAGAATGGGAGAACTCCAGCGCTAGGGGAATACTGCACATAGATTCATGGCTTTTTTTTTTTTTTTTAACCATGATCCATTATTTCATCAAAGTTAATTTTTGTTGACTGTTTTTTTTTATTTTTCTTTTTCCCTTTTTCAACCAACATCTTATCAATCCCTTTTTTAAAAAAAAAAATTTTTTTTATTTTTCATTTTTAGAGTCATATTTTATCCCTTCATAGTAGTTACCCTTATTTTTGGCATATATATATAAGTTGTTCTCTCTTTAAAATTTTGAGGTACAGTTTCTTCTAACAGATCACCCTAAATCACTAGTGTATGGCTTTGTTCTAGTCTCCTGCCTGATCACATTCTCTCACTTTTTCCTTTTTTTTTTTCTTAAATCTTCTTTCTTTTTTCAAACAACTTATCTTACCAAGTCCTTTTATAAAATCTTTTATAATTTTCATCTTTACAGTCATCTTCCATCCCTTCATTGTATCAACCCTTATTTTGTACATATATGTCTTTCTTCCTTTAAAATTTTAGGAGGCACTTTTTTCTAACAGACCAAAATATGCCCAAAATCTAGTGTGTGGCACTGATCTATGCACTAGCCTGATCATATTTGATCATATTCTGCTTTTTTTGTATTGTTTTGTTTTTGTTTTTATCTTTTTTTTTCTTCTTTTTTTTTTTTCCTCTTTCTTTTTTCTTTCTTTCCCTTTCTTTTCCCCTGGTTTCAGGTCTTTTCTGATTTGTATACAGTATATTTGCTGGGGACGTTGTAAACCTGTTAGCATTTTGTTCTCTCATTCATCTATTCTCCTCTGGACAAAATGACAAGACGAAAGAAATCACCTCAGCAAAAAGAACAAGAGGTAGTACCGTCAGCCAGGGACCTACTCAATACGGACGTTAGTACGATGTCGGACCTAGAGTTTAGAATCATCACTTTAAAGATACTAGCTGGGCTTGAAAAAAGCGTGGAAGTTATTAGAGAAACCCTTTCTGCAGAAATAAAAGAACTAAAATCTAACCAAATCAAAATCAAAAAGGCTACTGATGAGGTGCAATCAAAAATGGGGGCACTAAATGCTAGGATAAATGAGGCAGAAGAGAGAATCAGTGATATAGAAGACCAAATGATGAAAAATAAAGAGGCTGAGAAAAAGAGAGAGAAACAACTACAGGATCACGAGGGCAGAATTCGAGAGATAAGTGATTCGATAAGACGAAACAACATTAGAATAATTGGGATCCCAGAAGAAGAAGAAAGAGAGAGAGGGGCAGAAGGTATATTGGAGCAAATTATAGCAGAGAACTTCCCTAATGTGAGGAAGGAAACAGGCATCAAAATCCAGGAGGCACAGAGAACCCCTCTCAAAATCAATAATAATAGGTCAACACCCCGACATCTAATAGTAAAACTTACGAGTCTCAGAGACAAAGAGAAAATCCTGAAAGCAGCTCGGGAGAAGAGATATGTAACCTACAATGGTAGAAACATTAGATTGGCAACAGACCTATCCACAGAGATCTGGCAGGCCAGAAAGGACTGGCAAGATATCTTCAGAGCACTAAACGAGAAAAATATGCAGCCAAGAATACTATATCCAGCTAGGCTATCATTGAAAATAGAAGGAGAGATAAAAAGCTTCCAGAACAAACAAAAACTAAAGGAATTTGCAAACACGAAACCAGCCCTCCAAGAAATATTGAGAGGGGTCCTCTAAGCAAAGAGAGAACCTAAAAGCAGCAAAGAGCAGAAACGAACACAGACAACAGACAGTTAACAGTCACCTTACAGGTAATACAATGGCACTAAATTCATACCTTTCAATAGTTACCCTGAATGTAAATGGGCTCAATGCCCCAATCAAAAGACACAGGCTATCAGATTGGATTAAAAAACAAGACCCATCAATATGCTGTCTGCAAGAGACTCATTTTAGACCCAAAGACACCCCCAGATTGAAAGTGAGGGAGTGGAAAACCATTTACCATGCTAATGGACACCAAAAGAAAGCTGGGGTGGCAATCCTTATATCAGACAAACTAGATTTTAAAACAAAGACTGTAATAAGAGATGAGGAAGGACACTATATCCTACTGAAAGGGTCTATCCCACAAGAAGATCTAACAATTGTAAATATCTATGCCCCGAACATGGGAGCAGCCAATTATATAAGGCAATTAAAAACAAAAGCAAAGAAACACATTGACAACAATACAATAATAGTGGGGGACTTTAACACCCCCCTGACTGAAATGGACAGATCCTCTAAGCAAAAGATCAACAAGGAAATAAAGACTTTAAATGACACACTGGACCAAATGGACTTCACAGACATATTCAGAACATTCCATCCCAAAGCAATGGAATACACATTCTTCTCTAGTGCCCATGGAACACGCTCCAGAATTGATCACATCCTAGGTCACAAATCAGGTCTCAACCGGTACCAAAAGATTGGGATCATTCCCTGCATATTTTCAGACCACAATGCTTTGAAACTAGAACTCAACCACAAGAGGAAAGTCGGAAAGAACTCAAATACATGGAGGCTAAAGAGCATCCTACTAAAGAATGAATGGGTCAACCAAGAAATTAAAGAAGAATTAAAAAAATTCATGGAAACCAATGAAAATGAAAACACAACTGTTCAAAATCTTTGAGATACAGCAAAGGCAGTCCTGAGA